ATCTCTATGGCAGCGCGCTGTGATGTCATACGCCCGGGGTTGCGACCTCACGGCAGGAGGAGAATGATCTTATTAAAACAACATGGTCCCCATCCGCGGCCGCTCACGGTCGGGGGACTCTGGTGTGGGGTAATGGCCAGCGGAGGGGCTGGTGGCAGCTGAAGGGACGCTGGGGACGGAGCCCTCCCTGGGCTTGTGGGACCTGGTGGTCCTGGTGGGACCTGGTGGTGACACAGGGCACGATCCTGTGCTCAAAGCAGAGGGCAGCCCCCAGGGCTGAGCTCCCCGACCAATGCAAACACACAAGCCCCGTGGTGCTGGGGTGACAGTGAATTTGGGGACAGCCAGGCCAGGGCTCATTGCTCTGGGGTCCCCCAGGCTTGGCCACAGCACCGCCCACCTCCACGGCTGAGCGTCTGGGGCCTTATCGGGGCACAGAGCCCTTTCATGTTGGGCCGGCAAGCGGCGAGCAGAGCTGACGAGGACCTGTCCCCAGATCAGAGCCGCCCAGCGCTGACAGCGACTGCAGGGCCCGTTCTTAAATTAGACAGGTCCCCCGCCTCCCCCTGGCCGGCGCTCCCGGCCCCTGCCCCATGGCTGGACACAACCCGGGACATCCTTGCCCGTGGCACTCCACGTGGCCAGCGTGTCCCCCACACACACGTGGGCACACACCGTACCCCCGAGGAGGGCTGTTGGGAGGCTGGGCATCACTCAGGCACCCCTAGGCAGGTGGTGGATGGATGGAGGGGTGAATGGGAGGATGGACAGACGGATGGGTGGGTGGCTAGCTGGATGGACGGGCAGGTAGGTGTGTGGATGGGAGGGAAGAGTGATGCATGCGTTTGCCGATTGATGGATGGATGGATGGATGGATGGATGGATGGATGGATGGGTGGGTGGGTGGGTGAGTGCACAAGCAGCTCAGTAGATCAGTAGAGAGGTGGCTGTGAGATAGGAAGCTGCATGCAAGTGTTGATGGATGGATGGACGGACGGACAGACGGATGGGAGAAAGGATGGCCCTAGCACTCCCTAGTGAGCCCCTGTGGCTCTGGACATTGTTGCTCTTTCCCAACAACCTCAGTTTCATGCAGCAGCAGCAAAGGCCCAGCTCTGCCCTGGGAGAGAAGGGAACATCCACGTCCCAAGGGGAGAAAATTTGCCTTTCTCTCTGCACAACAACTCGAGGGCCTGACCTCGTGCTGCTGCAGCAGTGCACCCTCGCTGCTAGCACAGGATCCGCTCTCCGCTGCCCAGAGGGGAAACTGAGGCCAAGGGGGACCGGCTTGCAGCGCAGCCACACTGAACCCACCCCTCTCCAGGCAGGCACAGCGCTGTGGCCAGTCCTGCTCCCTCCAGCTCCCCGCACATCCGTCTGTCCGGCCATGGGAAGGACACACATTGCTTGGGCTGGAAGCGATGCCACTGGGAGGGGGTGTCCTTGGGCCCCCGCGGGCAGTAAACATGATGTCATGTGGCAGCGTACACAGCCCGCTCTGTGCGCGGGTCCCCGAATGGGCTTCACAAGTTCTGCGTGGGAGGCATCGACCGTGGCCCACCGCCAAGGGAACTGGAGTAGGGAGATAAAATCAGGTTTGCTTTGGGCTGGAGCAAACAGCCTTCTGCAGGAGGAGTAAGGGACAGGGAGGGCGGCTGGACAGGGGGACACCTCCCCGCCTCGGAGGGCTTGGCGGGGAGCAGAGGCAATGGGGGACGCCCCAGCAAAGCCTGGCGCTGGTCTCACTGGTCCTAGGTCGGCTCCCTTCACGCCTACTTGACTTAGAATAACTCCGTAGGCACTTGAAGTCACTAATCAGTCGGGACCACTTGAGAGCAGCCCGGGGCTGCCTCCTGTCTCCCGCGATAACGGGCCGCCAGCCCCGGGCTCGCTCCTGCGTCCTGCTCCCACGTCCTCGGGGAAAGGTCCCGGGCTGCTGGGGTCCCACGGGGCACAAAGCAGGGGGAGCCTGGAGCAGAGCTCGCCGCCGGGTGCCGAGTCCTGCGTGGTGGTGGGGGGGACATCATCGTGCTGGTTGATTTACCCCTTGTTTCAAAAGCTTCATGCTGTCCCCAAGCCCCTGCCCAGGTCTGAGGAGGTCAGACAGAGGGAAACGAGGGGATGGGGACCTTTGGGAGAGGGGCAAGAGGGTCCCACTTGAACCCAGTAAGTGGGAGAAGAGCAGCTGTCTCCAGGCCTGGGATCTGTCCCCATCCCTCTGGACCTCCTCATGCCCCCCCTGTGCAGCCCCACTGGCCCCAGCACAGCTCGTGACTCAGGCAGTGACAGTGTGGTGACACACAGTTCAATGCTGTGGGCTATTTACGGTCCCCAGGACCCCGGGCTCAGCCTTCTCACAGCCTGGGCTTTCCTGGGGGTGAGTCAGGGGGTGCCCTCCCCTGGGACACCCCGCTCCCCCCCCCGGCTGTGGGAGAGCAAATGGGGGTTAGTGGATGCAGCCCTGGGAAAAGTTTCCAGCTCCTGGGTGACACTGCAGAAGTCACGTAAAGAAGCTGTCACTCCGTCCCGGCAGCCAGGACCCTCCGTGTTGGGGGCAGCGCTCCATGAGCCGTGTGTGGTGGATGGGCTGAGGAGCAGAGCAGCGGGGGGTCCCACCGTGCCTGTCTCTGCACCCACAGGTCCCATCTGTGAGGTGAGACCTGATGGTGCGGCTGCGGGGCGAGCGGAGTCGCAGCAGCCCTGCGGCAGAGGGACACACAGGGTGGGACCTGCCACCCCCAGCTCCCCATCCCCATGGATAAAGGCAGCATTCGCTCTCCTGCCTCTGCCCCGCTTGTCACCAAGTGGCCCCGCACTGGGGGACTTCCCGGGAGCTGGCGATGTCCCCGGCTCCCCGCGGCATCCTCCGGCTGCGGATGTGTCATGGCCCAGCCG